TCATCTCCATCAGCACTGATTGGTTTCTCTTTATTATTTCAATCTCTTTTGTGAAGAAACTCTTAATCTCATTGAATTGTTTGTCTGTGTTGTCTTGTATTTCATTGAGTGTTTTTGTGATAGCTATTTTGAAATCTCTGTAGTTTAGGTTATGGATTTCTGTGTCTTCAGGGTTGGTTTCTGGGTGCTTGTCATTTTCCTTCCGGTCTGGTGATTTCATGTATCTTTGCTTTGTGGTTCCTGTGTTGGCTTTGTTTTTCCTCATCCTGGAAATCTCTGGTTGTAATTTGCACCCACTGCCACTGTGTGGGGGTAAAGGGCTGTGTAATCTGAGCCCCCTGCACTCTGCCCCGGCTGTTCGCTGGGATCCACGATCCCCGGGTCGCTTGGTCTGGTCTGGTCGGCTGAGCTGCAGGGTCCAGTTTATGGGGAGGGGGGGCTCTCTCTTTTGCCCGCTGGGTCCCTGGCGTGGAGGGCTTCTCCTTTGCCCCTCGTTATCCGCTCTCTAGGGTGCTCAGATGTTGATGGTACCCTGTAGCAATTCTGAGTCCTCTGTGTGGGAGTTTCCCACTGGCTGAGAGAGCCAGAAGGGCTACGGTTTCCAGCAGAGGGCCGCCCCTCCCCCCTCTCTGGGAGCCCCATGGACAGGGATGGCTGATCTGATGGGGAGGGAGAGGAGTTCTCCTTACCTCTCCCCACTTCCTCCGGAGGCCCAGCACGTTCCACTCTCAGATGTGCGACAGTGTGGATCTTTCCCATCCTGCTTTTCACTGTCTAGGATTCCGTTGTTGGTCTGTGACTATTCCTTTTGTTGTATCTTATCGGGGGAAGAGTTCACGGGAAAGCTCACTCCACCATGATGCTGACGTCACTCACCACAAGTTGAATTTTTTAGGAAGTCTTCCTGACACCAGGGAAGTAATTCATTCTGGTCTCTGGAATTGAGGAACCAGAGGTAATGTTTGAAAAACAAAAGTAACAAGATTATATTATACCTAAAAAATACATAGGTCAAGTATTTGATGCAAATCATGAACTTTCTTATTTGATTCTTCTTTTGGTGTTGTCTCACTATGAATGATGCATTATTATTTTAAAAAGCAATACTGACCTTGTGACCGGATGTATTATAGATTCATACAATGAAGTAGGTCTCCTCAAACCAGTCACCAACTTTCAGCTCAGTAGTGGCTGCCGTGGGGACTATTATCACAAGGACAGATTTAGGAGATGAGGGAGATGCTGAGAGAAGGAAGAAGAAAGAGATGGCACGTAACAGAATAAGGGACATTTGGCAGTAAGCAGTAAGCATATCAATGAGATTTTGATGTGCCTTTCCATCTACTTTTCTTTTCCCTTTGTGCATTATTTTTTAAAATAACAGTTTTCAACTCTCCACTAACAGTGCATCCTATTTTATGGTTTGTTCACAGACTATGTAGGGAGCTGCAGGTTTGTCTTTCAAAATGTCTGCCCTTTTTGCCCAGTGGTTTATTGCATCACTGCCATCATTCTGGAGCACGTATAAGGGACTGTCATCTGTCCTCTCAATCTTAAAAAGGGCAACTTAACAAGTGCCTTTGGCTAAGCTGTGTCTTTCTGTTTCATAGGAATCACCACGGTGCTGACAATGACAACCATCAGCACTCACCTCAGGGAAACCCTGCCAAAGATCCCTTATGTCAAAGCGATTGATATTTACCTGATGGGCTGCTTTGTGTTTGTGTTCCTGGCTCTGCTGGAATATGCCTTTGTCAATTACATCTTCTTTGGAAAAGGCCCTCAGAAAAAGGGAGCTAGCAAACAAGACCAGAGCGCCAATGAGAAGAACAAGCTGGAGATGAATAAAGTCCAGGTAATACATTAAATATTCCTAACAATATTCTTCCAACATTTATCAGCAGCATAGTGCTCAGGGCTGTCATAATAGAAAAAAGCTATAAAATATCAGTTCATCTTTAATAAGGCTCAAATAACCCCTTATTTTACATATTTGAGAACCAAGGGTTGAAGAAGTTAGGTTGAAGGTGACATAGATTAATAACATGCTTGGACCTAAAACTCAACCTCAAGTCCATTATTCTTTATTCTAAACCTTACAGTTGTAAAACTATACGCAAAAGAATAATGCCAGACCTCCTTGATAAATAAATGAGAGAAACTAAAGTGAATAAACTCTACTATTAAGTGGAAATGAGGCAATATAGCACAGTAGGTATAATCACAGGCTGGAATCAAATTGCCTGAGTTTGATTTCCAGCTCTGCCACTTACTGGCTTTATAACCTCAAGAAAATCAACCTATGTAACTCTTTATCTAACTCTGCTCTCAGTGTCATCATTCATAAAATGGAGAATATTGTAGTATACTTGTCTCTCAGAGTTGTTGTGAGGACTAAATGAGGCTTTTTTTTAAGGCTAGTATTTGGAACAACACCTGGAATACTCAATAAGTATTGGCTCTTATCATTATACAAGACACTGTTACTATTTTTCTTTTGTTTTACATTGGCAGATTTTATGACATGTGCTCTCACTGGATGAAATTAAATTAAAATTAATGCTCTGTTTATTCTTTTAAAAAACTCTGTAGCCTCTACTTCTATGCCATTTTTCACTGAAATCAACTTAAAATTATTCACATTGAAATATTTATCCACTACAAATTGTTGTCAAGATGGCACACAGGGTGGCAATTCAAATATTTTTTCATTTAGGAGCTGTTCTGAATTTTGGGGATACTGCTCTGAATGAGACAAAGTTCCTGCCTTCATGGGGTTTAGATTCTAACAAGGGAATACAGGCAACAAACACACAAACTAGTATCAAGAGGATACTTTCAGGTAATAGGGCTATGAAGAAAGTAAAACAGAGTAATGGGCAAAAGAATGATTTGGGTCAGATGCGAGGTAACAGGGAACTTTGATCAGGTGATCAGGCAGACCTCCCTGAGGAACTGCCATTTGATCTGAGACTTAAGTGATGAGAAGCAGCTAACCATGCCATGTCCATTCTAGGCAAAGGAAATAGCAGCTACAAAGGAATTGCTTGATGTGTTAAAGTACTGAGAGAAGACCAAGGTAGCAAGAGTATAGTAAGTGAGGGAGAAAAGAGAGTAGTAGGAGATGTGGTTACAGAATCAAGCAGAAGCCAAATTATGAATCTTCAAGGTGTATCTTCATGCTCTTTAGTAGGATACCAAATATGAACAAACAATGCCAGGTAATTAAAAAGTTATAAGCGAAGAAAACATACATATTCAGCCAAATGGTCAAAATTCAAAACAACACATTCAAATAAATTTTTACTCTTGTGTGAAACACTATGGCTGATGCTATAGGAGAAGGAGTTGGCATGATAATCTCCTGAGAATGCCCCTGAGAATCTCCTGATCTTGGTGGAAAAGGAAATTATACTCTTATGAGGTGATTGGATTATAAAATGAGAATGGAATCAAATTGCCTGGGTTTGATTTCTAGCTCTGCCACTTACTGGCTTTGTAACTTCCAGCAAATCGAAGTTGGGAGTAAATCTAAGAGGAAGAAGCTTCCTATTGTCTGATTGTAACCACACCAGCTTTACAAGCATTTTTGCAGTAGTTTTCAAGGCCACCTCTTTTTTATTTCCATCCCCATCTCAGTTGTCTTCTAAACCTACTAGCTGGTCATCTGCATGGCTTGGAATATGTATTAATTGATATATCATGGGAGAAAGCCCTACATAAATAAAGTGATATAGGTTCACTGGTAGGAAAATTTAGAAGCTATAAACTGAATGAACACTCAAAAATAGGTAGAATTTGGGAAGGTAAAAAGGAGAAAACAGGGCCTTTCAATTGGCTAGAAAAGCAATGTTCTCTAAAGAAGTAATTAAATGGAAAGGCCAAGCAAACTGAAATCTATTTATTCTGATAAAATAAAAAGATTATATAACAAACTTTAACCATACTCTTTGGACATTTGCTTTGATTCCACCCCAGGATATGAGAACTTTTCTAAGGTGCTAAGGGACAAATAAAGGCAGGAGGAAAGCCTCACATGTCATTTCATAGCGAGATGTATCATATATATTGCTCTGAAGAGGACTTTGTGACTGGCTAATAAATAAGTAAAATATTCCCACCTAGCTGATCTTTATTTCATAAGCACGCTGTTTGAGTAAACCTGGGCTTAAACGTAGTGAGATTTCATTGGGTCTCAAATCAGGAAACCTTTATTCCAGGAGAATTGACTTTTTTTATTTGAATTCCAGGAGAAAGCATAGAAAAATCCCTCAATTACCAGGAGATGAAACTCTTAAGAAAGAAAAAACATGTTTTTATCCATGGAAAGCTAGATTAGGAACTCCACAAATGCTTTTCATAGAAACATAAGTAGACAAAGTTATGCCAAAATTCAAAAACAAATCATCTTAAGACACGATGTAGGAGTTTGTATCAGACTAACCCTTCTATAGATTAAAAATTACAAACCCTGAGCAATATTTTTAAAACCTGCTTGAAGACATGGGAGAGTAATTCAAAACAAGCAAAAACTGGCAGCGACTCAACCGTCAAATGAAGGAAACTACACTGTGTGAAATCTGTGTTTATACAGCTTTTCCACGGAGGCCACTCCCCAGTCTGGGGGAAGTGGGACAGCAAAACTTCAGCAAAAAACTGCAGTTTTATTGGTCTAATGAATCAGAGCATGGAGTTTGATACTTTCCGAGTACCTGGAGATTTTATAAAGTGAGCCACAGGAGAAACTCAAAATCTGTGAATAAACTTCCCATGAATCCTTGGTTGATTCCTGAACTACAGATGTACAGGTAAAATGCCGAGAAGTTGAGAAGGGAAAAGCAGCTGAAAGGCTGAAAAAAAAAAAAAAACCAAAAGCAATGAATAGAAATTTCAGCTGTTATCCACCATATCAAAGTCAGAGTTTGGAGTTTGAATCCAGCCATTTAGGGCAGGTTGGTAAATATATTAGGCTTTCCACTAAAACCCCCAAAGGATCACACCTTAGGAGTAAAGACTAACTCACAAGAATAAGGGATTCCTCTTGAGTTACAGGAAAAACTATAATAGACTCATTCTAACCACACATAAAACCAAGCCTCTACATGTTCTAGGTGATCTATTAGTAATGTAACTACCTATTAAAACAAAACTCAACATTTGTCAGGGAAGATAGCGGAATCCAGAGTCTCCACAGTGCATTGTCAATATACCTAGTATATAATAAAAAATTACCAGATATGAGAAGAACCTGGAAAACATGCCTATAGTCAAGAGAAAAAATTTAGTCAATAGAAAGAAACCTGCAAAAGTCTCAGATGTTGGCTTAAAAAAATAAGAACTATAATTAATAATAATAATAACTATAATTTAGAAGTTCACAGAAAATAGCCAAAAACTGGACACAACCAAAATATCCTATAACAGGTGAACGGTTAAACAAACTGTGGTACATTCATACCGTATAATACTAGCCCAACACAAAGCAATGAATTACGGATCTATGCAACAACTTGGATGGATCTCAAGGGCATTATGCTGAGTGAAAAAGCCAATCCTGAAAGATTACATACCGTATGATTCCATTTATATAATACTCCTAAAATAACAAAACTAGAGAGATGAAGAACAGATCAATGGTTGCCAAGAGTTAGTGAGAGTGGCAGGGGTGGGGGAGATGGGAGTGATTGATTATAAAGGGGTAGCAGTGGTGACATAGTTTTGTATCTTGATTGCAGTGCTGGCTAAATGAATCTACACGTGTAATAAAATTACATGGAACTACATACACTTTATACCTATGTCAGTTTGGATATTGTACAATAGTTAAATAATATGTAATCAATGGGAGAAGCTACTACAATAATTTCAAAATAAAAAGTTTAAAATAAAGTCCATAGGAAAAGATGAATATATGAAGAGATGAGAAATATCAGAAAAGGAACTGGAACTATAAAAAAGAACCAATGAAAATCATAGAATTGAAAAATTCGTGAGATGGATTAGCATCAGGTTTTACACAACAGAAGAAAGGAATAGTGAAATTGAGGTAATATTGGCCTTCTCCCAATTTTTCCATTGCATCAGTTCTTATCAGAAATGCTACTACCTCAGGGATGCCTTAACTGACAGCCCCACTGTTGGCTTATATTCGGTACCCTTGTTATATGTTCTCGTGGCCATTGTGTACTTTTCCACCATAGGACTCAATCACAATAGTGAGTATATGTTTATTCAGGTAATTATTTTTTTAATGTCTATCTCTCTGTTAGACTGCAAGCTTCCCTAAGATTGGCACCAAGGTCCTTTTCTATTATGTTTATTTTTCTTTCCTCGGTGGCTAGAACAGAGAAAAAACCAAATAAACACTTGTTGAATGAATGAATGCTACATAGGCCTTCTCCATTCAAGACGAGGCATTGAGCATTACATCATAATGTTTTATAAAATGCTTATACATTGATAAGTAAGAAAAAGAGACTATCTATAGCCCACTTTAACTTCTGCCCCCGACTTCCTTACTATTTCTATCACTTTGATTTTTAACATTTTTTAAAGCATGTTCTATATCAATCTCTGCTATTCTTTCTGAATCACGTCATATAACATCAGACAGACATAATCTTCTAAGAAGTGCTGTGACTAAGATTTTATAAACTTTTTCATACTTAGATGGAACAATAATGCAGTGTTATCATCTCAGGCAATTTGTAATCATCCCTGCAGCTGCGTAGGTTTTCCAGTTCCTAACTCTCTTATCCTCTTCTAAAACCAGAGGCTCAGACAATGTGTCAATAACAAGTATATTATTTCATCTGTTCAGTGCATCATCTCCAGCAGTTAAGATAATAATGCAAC